CAATCATACCAGGGACAACCTCCCTAGTATGCCTAACAATAGCATCCTCAGCTGTGTTCATGTCAAGAGCCTTCATTCCAGGAACAGTATCAATCAAACCAATACTCTTGAGCCTCTTCACACCAGTGGCTCCGAAAGGACCATCATGTCCACAAGAACTTACAACAATTTTAGACTCCATAACATTAGGGTCCATGCATGATTGAGAGTCATGGTTCTGTGCAACCAAAGCCCAGTTTGTGACAACACCACCGACTCTTCCGTTCTTCACAATCAAATCCTCGGCAGCAACAGCGTTGAAAAGCTTCACGTTTGGCCTTGCTAGTAGCTTGCTCATGATGGTGGATGTGAAGAGAGCAGCGTGCTTGATCACAACATAGTCGTCTTGTTCATCATACTCAACTTCAAGCTCGTCCAAGAAATGATGTGCTGGTTTACGCACAACCTGCATCACACACATTCAATTTATCATTTAGTTTAAGATTAAAACTCATCTATTCAGTCAAAAACATGGTTAAATCGTGGCCATAGATCTGATCTATTTGATCTATGATAAAAACAAGACAATGAAATATATATACCATTGCTGAGAAGAGTTGGCCACCGAGCCAAGCACCGCCACCAGGACTGACGGATTGTTCGATGATAGCGATCTTGACGTTAGGATTCTTGCTGAGTTCGTAAGCACATGAAAGACCAGCGGAGCCAGCACCTACAATGACAACGTCGGTGTCGGCATGTGTGACCATGTCGGTCATGTACCTACGAGTCATCTCGCGTGAAACAATCGACTCCTTGATCGGAGCGAATTTGAAAGCGTTAAGGTCATAGGAGGGCGGAGGTGAAGGTGCTGCTGATGCTGAGGCTGATACAGATAGGGAGTGTTTTGGTTTGGATCCGAGGCTAAGGGTTCGGTTGAGAGATGAGGGTTTCTCGGTGAGAGATGAGGTTGGGGTTTGGGTGTAGAGGAAGGAGGAGGTAATGGTGGATGAAGCCATGTTTTGTGTGTTGTGATGTTTACAGTGTTTGAGATGAGTGGTTAATGGAAACGTGGGGTGGCTTATTTATTGAGGAAAAATGGGAGAGTGAAAATTTACAATGACATTTTTTGAGAAAATGCATGAAGACACGTGGCACACTCATTTGAATCAACCAATCAAACAATAAGAAAAAAAAAGTTACAATTTTTTTATCACCACCATTATCCGGTCTATTAGAACGACTAATATAATTTGAAGGTGACTAATCCAGTTGGAGAGTGGATGCTGTAAGAGGTTGAACTGTGTTCTTCTCGATTAAATTCATTGCTAATTAATTATAGTTGCAGGAAATTCAACTGTATCCTCGTTATCAAATTCATTATCAATTAATAAATAAAAATATTTTTTTATGATTATTTTTATCTTATTTCTTAAATTCTATGAATAATATTTATGATCTAATGCCATTAAAAATATATATTTATCTTTTAAATAAATTCAATAAATTAATGGAAAAAAGAATATATTGGCCGCGTAAAATATCAATGGAACACATATATAATCAATTAAAAAATATTTTCATTTTTAAAATAATAATATAATATGATAATTATAAAATTTTAATTGATTATATATGCAATATTTAATTTACTCTGTACATTATCTTTAAATTAATTATTTGATAAATCTTAAAAAATAAATAATATTGACCGGTGAAAATAAATTAATAAATAAAAATAAATATATAGGGAATCATTAGTTTTTTATTAATATTTTATTTATTGTCTATTAAATATGAGAGGAAGAGTATTTATTATTTAGATAATTCTAGTAAATTAAGTTTTAATTAAATTCAAATTGTTTGACCTAGTAATTGAGTGTGATTTTTTTTATTTGAAATAATAATTAAGAAAACTATATTTTTTTAGTTAAGGTTTTTTTTATTACGCAGAAGCAAACCCACCGTTGAATAGACAACTAAGAAAAAAATAATAATGTATGACTTTAAATATATAAAGAAAAAAATGTCTTAATTTACTTTTTTTTATACATATTTTGAATTGAATTCTTTATAGAGATAATTATAAAGAAAATTTTCTAAATTAATAACTAGCATAATTATTGTTCCAAACTAGATCTAGAAATTGATATAGATAGAATAGACTGGAGTTTTTTTTTCCGGTGTAGTAAGCTTCTAGTAGAATAGATAAAAATTGATTTATAAGGTTAACGCTTCAACATTCAAGTTAATGAAAGAGTGAAAAAGTAATATGAGTGAAATATCTAAAATGACACGTATTAAATTTAGGGTTAATTCCATATGGCATTTATATTAATATTTTATTAATTGAGTGTTAATGTGAACGCTTCTTACCACTAGACCAATGCATTTTCTTTGTTACATATATGCATCAATAAATATTCATATCATTAACATATTAATTACAATTATCAATAAATTTTCTTAACTAGTTGGTTTAAATAATTTTTAAAAAAATGTTTTACATATTTTATCTTTTTACTGTAACTTTTTTTAAATTTTAAATTTTCAAAAATCACTTAAATTTAAAAAAATCACTTAAATTTAAAAAAATCACTTAAATTTTCAAAAATCACTTAAATTTTCAAAAATCACTTAAATTTAAAAAAATCACTTAAATTTTCAAAAATCACTTAAATTTTCAAAAATCACTTAAATTTAAAAAAATCACTTAAATTTTCAAAAATCACTTAAATTTAAATCACTTAAATTTAAAATCACTTAAATTTTCAAAAATCACTTAAATTTTCAAAAATCACTTAAATTTAAAAAAATCACTTAAATTTTCAAAAATCACTTAAAATTAAATCACTTAAATTTAAAATCACTTAAATTTTCAAAAATCACTTAAATTTTCAAAAATCACTTAAATTTAAAAAAATCACTTAAATTTAAAAAAATAAGTTAAATTTAAAAAAACACTTAAATTTTCAAAAATCACTTAAATTTAAAGGATATATGGAAAAAGTGTTTCCACAGTTTATTTAGTGAATGATATTAGATCTTATTGAATTATAACAGGCTGGACACTATAGAAAATGATTGAATTTATATAACTACTATCATCGGATGAAAATACATAAGGTAAAGGAAGCGTTGAAAATTTTGAATAATAGTAGGGTTGTTGGACGAGACAACATACTTGTTAAAGTGTGGAAAATCCTAGAGATATATGCATTGAATGACTCACCAATTTTTTTAACAAAACTATGAGGTCAAAGAAAATGTGGTGTGGATGAAGAAGAAATAGTTTAATTCTAATCAATAAAAATAAGGTGTATGTAAATTGTTTAAATTATACGAGAATTAAACTTATGACACATACCATGAAGTTATGGGAAAAGTGATGAACGGAAACTAAGAAAAATTACTAAAGTTAACGATAATCATTTTCGTTCGATCTCTGAGAGGTCAAAAATTGAAGTGATTTATTTACTAAGATGTGTGATGGAGCAAAATCGGATGGATCAACAAAATTTGTATTTAGTTTTTGTTAGTTTGAAGAAGGTGCATCATAGAGTGCCTGGTGAGATTTTGTGAAAAGATATAGGGAAGAAAGGGGTTAAGATTTCCTATATTCGAGATACCATGAATATGGTTGAGGGGTCTTGACAAGTGTGTGAACACATGATGGAGAGATGTACAATTTCTCCATAAGAATAAGAGTTCATCAAGGTTCAACCATAAATCCTTACTTTTTATTTTAGTTTTGGATGTACTTACGAAACAAATTCAATATCTAGCACCGAAATGTGTGCTTTTTTAAAGATGATATAATCTTGCTTTGAAAGTCGATGGAAAAATCAAATGAGAGGTTGAAGACGAGCCTTAAAAGCGCATGACTTACACTTGAAAAGAATTAAAATGTTGTATATGGAATGTAAGTATATTACCTGAAAAAGTATTTCTAACTCACTGTTTAAAGTTGGAGATTAAATAATACTACACATGACTCAGTTTAAATATCTTAGGTCTATAATACCAAACGAAGAGCAATAAAAGGAGACGTAAATTGTTGAATTCAAGGTGGATCATTGAAATAGAGGACATAAGATGTTTTATGTGATAGGAAAGCACCACTCAAACTTAAGGAAAAACTTCATTAAAAACCTATAAGACCGACAATGTTGTATGAGACAAAATATTGAGCTGTAAAAACCAATACCGAAATAAATGAAATGTAATGTGTAGCAAAGATATGGATGTTACATTAGAAGACCACTAATATTCTACAAGATAAGATAAAAAAAAAAGACCTATTAAATGAGAGTGTTAGAGTAACTATTATAATAAAAAATAGTAGATACTAAACTTAAGAGATATTGTAAATGTTGAATGGAGAGAAAAGACACGTAAAAAGGGGAAAAAATAGAAGACAAATTTCTTTTTAAAAAACAGAGATTCGAAAATTTGGTTTGACAAAAAAAACGACTTTAAAACCAGTTCCATGAAAAAACTGGTTCTAGAAACAAAACTGGTTTGGAATGGGTTTAGAATTGGTTTATGAAAAAATAAACTGATTTTGAAAAAGAAATATAATTTGATTTTAAAAAACATATTTGAAACTTGTGTATTTCAGATGAACCACCCTAGTGGCCAATGGATTGCAAATCAAATACCAAGGCATTGACCAGTACTTGTATAGAGGAGAGTGATGGGGAATCCTATCTACAACTCCATTTGAACACAACGCATAGATATCCATTTGGATACTTCAAGGTAAATGTTGATAGTTCTCTTGGGGAACTTGTCCCCTTTGTAGTGGTTATTTGTATTCTCATTTCATCTAAAATATGAGTAGATATTATTGGATGAGAAAGAAATATGAGGATTTGACAAACGCATTCATTCATGTTATTAACAACAACAAAAAACCTCTTACAAAGAGTCACATGAACTATCCCATCACCACTACTAACAAACAACAAAAAAACATTATTATTTCTGGCTACTAGTAATTCAATACTATTAACTAAAATTTAAGCATCTGCAACTTCAGCATTATCAGCAGCAGCTAGGACAAGCTCAGGGTGGATTTTTCCTGCAGAATCCACAACATTGGGAAGTCCAAGTGCTCTCAAAGCCAAATGAGCTGCTTTCTGTCCTGATATCATCATTGCTCCAAATGTTGGACCCTGCATTTTCAACCAACAAACTTCATTAGTAGTAGTTAACTACATGGATATGCAACCAATATGAAACCAAAAAAGTGAAAGTTTTACCATTCTTGGAGCACCGTCAATCTCAGCAACTTCCATTCCAGTAACAATCATACCAGGGACAACCTCCCTAGTATGCCTAACAATAGCATCCTCAGCTGTGTTCATGTCAAGAGCCTTCATTCCAGGAACAGTATCAATCAAACCAATACTCTTGAGCCTCTTCACACCAGTGGCTCCGAAAGGACCATCATGTCCACAAGAACTTACAACAATTTTAGACTCCATAACATTAGGGTCCATGCATGATTGAGAGTCATGGTTCTGTGCAACCAAAGCCCAGTTTGTGACAACACCACCGACTCTTCCGTTCTTCACAATCAAATCCTCGGCAGCAACAGCGTTGAAAAGCTTCACGTTTGGCCTTGCTAGTAGCTTGCTCATGATGGTGGATGTGAAGAGAGCAGCGTGCTTGATCACAACATAGTCGTCTTGTTCATCATACTCAACTTCAAGCTCGTCCAAGAAATGATGTGCTGGTTTACGCACAACCTGCATCACACACATTCAATTTATCATTTAGTTTAAGATTAAAACTCATCTATTCAGTCAAAAACATGGTTAAATCGTGGCCATAGATCTGATCTATTTGATCTATGATAAAAACAAGACAATGAAATATATATACCATTGCTGAGAAGAGTTGGCCACCGAGCCAAGCACCGCCACCAGGACTGACGGATTGTTCGATGATAGCGATCTTGACGTTAGGATTCTTGCTGAGTTCGTAAGCACATGAAAGACCAGCGGAGCCAGCACCTACAATGACAACGTCGGTGTCGGCATGTGTGACCATGTCGGTCATGTACCTACGAGTCATCTCGCGTGAAACAATCGACTCCTTGATCGGAGCAAATTTGAAAGCGTTAAGGTCATAGGAGGGCGGAGGTGAAGGTGCTGCTGATGCTGAGGCTGATACAGATAGGGAGTGTTTTGGTTTGGATCTGAGGCTAAGGGTTCGGTTGAGAGATGAGGGTTTCTCGGTGAGAGATGAGGTTGGGGTTTGGGTGTAGAGGAAGGAGGAGGTAATGGTGGATGAAGCCATGTTTTGTGTGTTGTGATGTTTACAGTGTTTGAGATGAGTGGTTAATGGAAACGTGGGGTGGCTTATTTATTGAGGAAAAATGGGAGAGTGAAAATTTACAATGACATTTTTTGAGAAAATGCATGAAGACACGTGGCACACTCATTTGAATCAACCAATCAAACAATAAGAAAAAAAAGTTACAATTTTTTTATCACCACCATTATCCGGTCTATTAGAACGACTAATATAATTTGAAGGTGACTAATCCAGTTGGAGAGTGGATGCTGTAAGAGGTTGAACTGTGTTCTTCTCGATTAAATTCATTGCTAATTAATTATAGTTGCAGGAAATTCAACTGTATCCTCGTTATCAAATTCATTATCAATTAATAAATAAAAATATTTTTTTATGATTATTTTTATCTTATTTCTTAAATTCTATGAATAATATTTATGATCTAATGCCATTAAAAATATATATTTATCTTTTAAATAAATTCAATAAATTAATGGAAAAAAGAATATATTGGCCGCGTAAAATATCAATGAAACACATATATAATCAATTAAAAAATATTTTCATTTTTAAAATAATAATATAATATGATAATTATAAAATTTTATTTGATTATATATGCAATATTTAATTTACTCTGTACATTATCTTTAAATTAATTATTTGATAAATCTTAAAAAATAAATAATATTGACCGGCGAAAATAAATTAATAAATAAAAATAAATATATAGGGAATCATTAGTTTTTTATTAATATTTTATTTATTGTCTATTAAATATGAGAGGAAGAGTATTTATTATTTAGATAATTCTAGTAAATTAAGTTTTAATTAAATTCAAATTGTTTGACCTAGTAATTGAGTGTGATTTTTTTTATTTGAAATAATAATTAAGAAAACTATATTTTTTTAGTTAAGGTTTTTTTTATTACGCAGAAGCAAACCCACCGTTGAATAGACAACTAAGAAAAAAATAATAAAGTATGACTTTAAATATATAAAGAAAAAAATGTCTTAATTTAATTTTTTTTATACATATTTTGAATTGAATTCTTTATAGAGATAATTATAAAGAAAATTTTCTAAATTAATAACTAGCATAATTATTGTTCCAAACTAGATCTAGAAATTGATATAGATAGAATAGACTGGAGTTTTTTTTCCCGGTGTAGTAAGCTTCTAGTAGAATAGATAAAAATTGATTTATAAGGTTAACGCTTCAACATTCAAGTTAATGAAAGAGTGAAAAAGTAATATGAGTGAAATATCTAAAATGACACGTATTAAATTTCATGGACATACTGATTTTAGTGAACGCTTCTTACCACTAGACCAATGCATTTTCTTTGTTATATATATGCATCAATAAATATTCATATCATTAACATATTAATTACAATTATCAATAAATTTTCTTAACTAGTTGTTTTAAATAATTTTTAAAAAAATGTTTTACATATTTTATCTTTTTACTGTAACTTTTTTTAAATTTTAAATTTTCAAAAATCACTTAAATTTAAAAAAATCACTTAAATTTTCAAAAATCACTTAAATTTTCAAAAATCACTTAAATTTAAAAAAATCACTTAAATTTTCAAAAATCACTTAAATTTTCAAAAATCACTTAAATTTTCAAAAATCACTTAAATTTTCAAAACTAAGTGATTTTCAAAAATCACTTAAGTGATTTTTGAAAATTTAAGTGATTTTAAATTTAAGTGATTTAAATTAAATTTAAGTGATTGTCCTTACGCCACTTAGCAGGATAGTGGTCACAATATACTTTATACTTTTATACTCACCATCTCACATATATCAGTCTTGATCTTTATCTTCTATTTCTTCAGAGGCTTTTCATTGTATGTTGATGAAGCATGTCGTAGAAGGATCAAAACTTGAATCTTCATAATCTAAGTCTTTCACTATGCCAAAAATTAAAAATAACGTGCACCATAGACAACGTTTATTTCACGAAGCGCTGCTATAAGTTAAAAAATTAAAACTATAAACTAAATTAATAAAAAGCACTGCTAAAGGATATAAATAAGAAAGCACTTTCTTGAAAGCGCTGCTATTGGGCATAAATAAGAAAACACTTTCTGAAAGCGCTGCTAAAGACCATAAATTAGAAAGCGCTTTCTGAAAGCGCTGCTAAAGGGCATAGATTAGAAAGCGCTTTCTAAAAGCGCTGCTAAAGGGCATAGATTACAAAGCGCTTCTTGAAAGCGCTGCTAAAAGTCATAGATTAGAAAGTGCTTTACCATAAAAAAGCGCTAGTAATGCCTATTGTGATACGGTGAGAGAATTGACTTGATGTGTTTTGCGTTTGTGTTTGCAAATGTTGCGATTTAGCAAGAGTCGCCACCGACTTTTCTTTTATCCAAAAGGAAAGGTGAAAAAGCACATGAAAGACCTTTAGAGATGTTTTCTTGAGTTCGGGGGGTAGATTATGAAAAGGGAAGGTATTAGCACCCTTTTCATCCATGGTTTTCCATGGGCTCTTAGTTGCTCGCTAGATCACTTGCTTTTGTTTGAATGTGCTTGTGGTGTGGGTTTTTGAAAGTATTTTGAAAATGTAACTTTGTAATGATTCTCGTTTCTATAAGAATGCGTACAAAGTGTTGTTTTAAAAATAGTTCAAAAAGATGTTTGTGAAATGTGTTTTTGAAAGTGATTTTGAAAAGGGTTTCCTTTGTAATGGCTCTCGTTTCTATAAGAACGCGTACAAAGTGTTGTTTTCAAAAGTGTTTCAAAATGAGAGTGTTTGGTGTATAAAATATTTTTGTTGTGAGCAAGCGAGTAACTAGGAGCGAATCTACCTACTCAAAAGGTCTTAAATGTGATTTTCCTTCTCCTTTAGATGTGGCTATCTTACCATTGTTTTAATAAGAAGCCCCATCATTGGATGTGAAGGGACGAGTATGGGACGTTTGTATAGTCATAGAAGGCAATCTATGAACGTTTTAGCAAAGTCATTTTAGGGACTAGATCGTTTACCATAGGAAACATCGTGGGTCATCGAGGGACTACGATCTTTTATCGAGGGTTTTTGCTAAAACACCCATGTTCGAGGGACATGACTATTTTTCCGATAGGCAACGAAATGGGATTACCTAGAGGTGTTAGTGTGTATAGTGTATTTGATTGCATGCATTTTAATCTTGATGAGGGTGATGTGATCGGTGGAAATAGAACTGACTATTTTTTAAGCTGGTTCGCGAAATGTCGCGGTAAGCAAGAGTCGCCACCGTCTTTTATGTTCTCCAACATGGAAAGGACAAAAGCACAGCAAAATTCCTTCTTTGAGAATGTTTCTCGGTTCGGGAGGTAGATTTATAGAAAGGGAAGGTGTTAGCACCCTTTTTATCCGTGTTTATCCACGGGCTCTTAGGTACTTGCTCTTATGTTTTCAAAATTGTTCGCTTTTCAAGTGTGTGTGGGTTTTGAAAAATATTTCGTTTGAAAAATTTCTAAGTAACTCTTGTATCTGTCCCCAAGAGTGTATGAAAAATTTGTTTGAAAACTTTTGAAAGTGTAGGTGCGAAAAGTATTTTTGTTTGTTTTGAAAAGAGCAAGTACTTAAGAGAAATCTACCTACTCTAAGGAATTAGGCTGTGTAAGAGTCCTTTAGATAGTGCTATCCCACCATTGAGAGGTAGGTAGCACCATCGTTGGAGTTATTCGGGTCAATTCGATTAAGGGACAATATGGTCACCAAAGCAATGGTAGGACACCTTAGAAGTAACCCTAATGTCCTAGATCCTTTTTATCTGAGGCAACCGTTTCGAGGCAACTGGATCTTAGACAGGAGGGCGACCTCTAAAACACCCTATACTTGACGACCACGTCGAGGCAACCAGTGAGGCGTACCCTAGGAGTGGCATGTGCATATGTGTTGTTTCGGTTTATGTTTATCTTGTACATGTTATTTGTGAGCTACAGATTGATTTTATTATTCATACATTCTTGCAGGCATATTAACAGTTAAATGATTTGCAGGAAATAAAGTGCGGAAAGGTAAATCTAGCTATTACAAGGCGCGGGTCTATACATCGCCAAAAACAAAAAACCCGTTTCAAAAATAAGAATGCGAGAAATTGTAAATAAAGAGATAAACCTAATTAACTATTACATTTCCGGAAGCAGTTACATAAATATAATCAAAATAAATAAATATGCGCGAATAGAAATTTAATCGGGAACGTCCTTAGGGTGTTGACCCTTTTGAGAAAGAATTGAATTTTGTCCCTTTTTTGCAATTAAAATTAAACCTAATAGCTAATTAATTAATATTTACAAGAAAAAAGATTTTTTATGTTTTTAATGTTTTTAATGAAAATAAAATAAAAATTAAATTAAAAGTGTCAAAAGAAAAAGAAATCTAAGTCTAATTCATTTTTATTTTATTGTAAAAAGAAAATTAAAGTTAAACCTAATTAAACTAGATTAATTTAAATTAGTGTTTATTTACAAAATAATTAAACTAAAGTGAAATTAATAAAATATTTACATTTTTTTTGAATTTTATGGAAAATATTAATTATGTTAATTTTGGTGGTAATAATAATAATTAAAAAAAATAATTAATAACTAAATTAGAAAATATAAAACAAAAAGAAAAAAGAATGAACCAAGGGGGGTGTTGGACCCTTAAGGAGGTGAATCTGGAAATTTAGGCCCATTAACCAGCCAACCCACGTTGACTTTCTGACCTCTCTATGGCACATGTTGACTGGATGCACGGTGGTCATTTGCTCTAAGCCATTAGATTTGTGTTAAGGGCCACATGGCGTGCATCTGGATGAGGGGTGCATGATGGAGTGCTTTTGAGAACCTGCACACAAGCACATAAGAAAAAATAATATGGAATTTTGGGGGGACCTGGGATTCGAACCCAGGTCCCAAGGGACAATGCTTGCACGCCTTAGCCACTGAGCCAGTTGCTTTATTTGTTATTAAGACCACAAGTAATTATTATATTAGTAAATCAAACAATGCCCTGG